CCAAACGATACATTATCCCTAAAGGTCAGCCTTCCATGATCTAACGACTTGCGGTATATTATAGTATCTATGGTTTCCATGCGGCGTTATTCGTGGTGCTCTATCAAACCTCGGTATTACAACCACTGTTCAAGCAGAATCTACAGAGCTTCCAGGCGCAACTTTTCAAATCAAAACCGTCAACCCCAAGCCCTGAAGGCGTTCGGACATAGGCGACTTTGAAACTTATCCAGACCGCCAATCACACAGTATGCGTTCATCACAGGTGTGCTTGGATGACAATCACATGCAGCACTCCAGGGATATCTGCTGGAGCTGCAGTTCTTCCCAACGGATTGCTGGGTAATCCTACATTCAAGTGCGGGCATGAAGAATACAAGGCTTTATCATTTAAACAGGTCACTCGTATCTCGAAGTCATAAATCCTGAGTCAGAGCAATCCATCGACCATCGCCCATTCGTTTGCAGAGTCACATAATTCAAAGCCTATCTCCCCAGGATAACAATGATTAGCAGGGCTCCTTCCATGTCCATGAACTTGTGATGCAACCACCGAAAGATATCTCCCCGGTGGTGAAGAGGTGCGATATTGGCATATCACCTATCGATGATTGGGTATCCTGTGACTCAGGGACTGGGGTGGGCGCGTTTACTTTGGTGGGGGGTTCTTGACGAATTCGATTCCCTTTTCGATGTTGCCCTTCAAGCCCTTGGTGCAGGTCTCGATGAGCTTCTTTTCCTGCTCGGTCACGCCCTCAAGAACATTGATGGCCTTCTCAGCTCCGTTGGTCTGTTTTTTCTAGTCAGAGTGATGTCCGCTATTCAAATATGACGTATTGAATGACTTACGCCAAGTTCTACAAGGGTAGAGAAGAACTCCAGGCCGGTGGCCTTGGCAATCTCTTCACCGCCAGTGACACCAGGCAGATAGACAAAGGTAGGCTCGACGATACCCGACTGGCCTTGAGAAGCCTTGATAACGCTCTGAGCAAATCTTGATGTGAGGTTAGCTCTGACACCAAGAGTTTGTAAATGAGGGACTCAAACCTGAAGCCAGCATAGGCCATAGACAGGGTCGCAGAGCCGGCACCATCCTTGGCCTTGACAACCTCATCTCCACCGAACTGAACGCCTGCATATAGTTCAGTAAACATTTCAATCGCTAAGAGTCTGCGCAGTTCACTTACGGTTGACGAGCGCATCGTACTTGTCTGCGGGGATCTGGAAAGCGGGGGCTGCCTTGCTGAAGAGGGGAACAATAGTCTCTCCCGAGTGGCCACCGACGACTGGGATGCGCACAGCGGATGGGTCCTTGTGGCCTGAGTATTCCTGGACAAAGGTCTCCGCGCGGACAACATCCAGAGTGGTAACACCAAAGAGACGCTTAGGGTCAAAGACGCCAGCGGCCTTGAGGACCTCTGCGGCGATGGGAACAGTCGAATTGACAGGGTTGGAGATGATCAAAACAAATGCCTTGGGGCAGTACTCGGCGATGCCCTTGACCAGGTCGCGCACAATACCGGCGTTGATCTTGAACAGATCATCACGAGTCATTCCAGGCTTGCCTATTAACAGCAACTTTGTCAGTGAGAAGGACCTCAGAACATGGGACGTGGTTCACTCACGGGGAATTCCAGCAGGGATGACAACAATGTCAGCGCCGGTCAAGGCGTGCTTCAATCCATCATCCTTGGGCAGGAATCCGGAAATTTTCTATCGACAGTGTCAGAGGCGAAGCCAGATTGTTTGGTGGAGATAGGGAGCGCGTTGTGACACGGTCACACATACAGCAACAGAGGAGATGTGAGAAAGGTCGGCAGCGACACCGGGGGTGTTCACAACATCGTAGAGTGCGAGGTCGTCAACCAGGGGGCTTGTCTTCAGCAGGAGAGACAGAGGCTAATCGATCGGAAGCACATGGACAGTCAGTAAAGGTTAAAGAAGGTGACAGACCTGCATCGCGGGCTGCAGTTCTGGTAGGGGCAAATGAGGGGCACGTACCTGGCCAATGCCACCAGATGCTCCAAGAACAGCTGTCGAAATGGATTTAGTCCGGGGTCGTTCTCGTTTTAAAAAGCGGGGTCAAAATGCAGGCGCCGTGAAGACCACTCACCCGCTTTAACCATTGTGAGTTTTGTGAGACTTCTCTTTTGGTAACTGTGACAAATCTATACACAAAGGTGAAAAGAAGCACGCAAGATTAGTGTGGGTATTAAACAAAAGGGAGAGAGAAATTTTCGAGAGTGAAAGAGGAGAAGAAGTTTGGGGAAGGAACTGATAGGGAGGAGGGGGGGAACCAGATAATATAAAAAAAAAATATATATATAAACGAAATAACAGGGGGGAGGGAGGGGAAGAGGGGGTGGAATTGGGAAGGGAGGGGTTTAGTTTGAGGAGGGGGCGGGGTGGTGTTGCTGCAGTTGGTGGTACGGTCACGGTGAACAGGTCGGGGCAAGTGGCAGCACAGGGATTAGGAAGGATCGGGGGATCATTGGCTCAATCCTAGGCCCATATCATACTTACTAAATGTATTTTCTTCCGAAGAGGGGAGAGAGAGAGAGAGAGAGAGAGAATGGGCAAGGAACAATGAATAGATAGATAAGAAGTACGTTAATGGGCAAATTGATTTTCAATTCGCATCGACAGAGGGAGAAGCTCCAGGACCATTATATATACTACGGAAACCGGACGGAGGATCACATGTGGGGTTAACCATGAAGCTGTCTTGCTAACTAGACCACTGGACCACTGGACTATGTCTCCAGTGACCGAGATCCAGCCCATCCGCGGGTGTCCCCCAAAGGGTGCCCGGGCCCCTCCCCAATAGCATTGTTCCCCAAACATCCAGTCGCCTCTAGTAGTAAGTTACGCTCGGCAACTCTGGAAGGCATGTATGTACATAGTTACATACACCCCAGCGGGCAGCAAGTCGAGTAGAGTTATTACACATTTCTAAGGAACCCATCCCCTAATAATACTTTATTCAGTACATGATACTTCACCATCAAGCATGTAGTTCCTTCCCGCAAACCGACTTGTGCTTAATCAAGACCAAAGCACCTTATTACTACTATTACAAACCTCATCAGACACACGCCAAATCTTTCCTCCGTAGTCCGGACATTCTATCTTTGCCATGAGAGCCGGATTGTTGCTTCCGGTTGACGGTGGCTTAGTCACTTCTGGAGTCGTTCAGATTCATCCCTCGGATGTAGTTCCCCCCCAAAACACGCCGCCCCAGATTCCGGCAATTCTCGTCGACTCCTTCGTTCCAGGAGTCCACATGAGAGAATATACCGGTTTGACCGGGGATTCCATCAAGGTTTCGGGAAAAGGCGGATATCAAAGTTGTCTCACGGTAACTTTGCGGTTAGATACGTGCTTACGACATCGGTTCTACATTCTACTTCGGCCCGACAGGCGGCAATAAACAGCCTACCAAAATATGGCCAGGGGACATCACAGGCAGTTGCAAGCGGAAGGCTGATTGTTTTCCCGTCAGTCCGATTGTTACCACTGTGTTCAAAATTGAAGATGGCAATTCTTCCATTTCCCCATTCATTCTGTTGTTGTTGAATTTCCCAAGATTTTTTTTGGTTTCCATTCTGAATGGCCTGGCCGGAGAACAATGCCCCTCTGGTAGCAGTATTGCTAAATTACATAGATGTTACCGCCCTTGGCCAGCACGGCGCTTTTATGGTCGATCATCCCGACCAGCTCTCATGACATCATGCCTCCTGGCCCTTCCCGAAAAAGAGAAAGTTGGCATTTACTCCGACTTCTCCTCAGCCTTTCTGGCCTTAGCACCACGGGGCTTCTGGGCGGGAGTCTCCTTCTTGGCCTTCTGGGAGCGACGGACGGCGCTGACACGGGCAACGGCGTCCTCACGGACATCAGCACGGTAGCCGTTCTTGGCAGTCTTGTCGGCAACACCCTTGTAGATCCTATGCGAGAGCAGTATCAGCAAACTGTCACGCCTCCCTCACAGACATCACAGCACGCCAACTGCTCATATTGACTTACTTGCGGGTGGAGGCGTTAGGGCCGTAGGTCACGGTAACGACGTTCTTGGCAGGCTGCTGGGGGTTGCTGGGCTTCTTGGTGATGACAGCAACACCGCCGTTCTCGGTGGCCTGGACACCAACCGCCTGTTGTTGCAGCGTTAAACATCCAATCCCCAACGGAAAAAAAAACTCTATGATATGAAGCGCGGGTAAAGTACCTTGGTGTTGGCATAGCCGGCGTACTAAACAGGTGATTCGACATTAGCACGAAAACATAACCCAGACCTTACGTCCAGGGTCCGTACCTTGAAAGAGTGCTTGTTCTGCAGGTTCAGGGGGTCACGGGAGAACTGAGAACCACCGCCGCTGTTACGCTTGACCAGATAAGCATTCTGGGTGCCTGTTGAGGTAGTCGTAACATTAGCCGGAGAAGACGAGGCGCGAAACGGCTCCTAGGGTTTCCATTGGGATAAAATATGCGTAGGAAGGTGCTAGTGACGTACGGGTGAGCTGCCAGATGAGGTCGCTGGAAACGTTGGCGGCCATTGTGAATGTCTCTTTCGAAGCTTGGGTGGGGGATGAGGACAGATCCAAATCGTCGCAAGTCCGTTCGGTATATACCAGCTACGACTTAATATCTAGCCCTTAGAAGGTTTCAGTTGTGTGTGCCAGCGCCAAGAATTCCAACGCTGAGAGCCTCGCTAAGCGGGCCGCTTTAGGAATAGACCCATTTTCAGGGCGGTTCGTTAGATGCCCGGGAGTGCTGCCTGAGAACGGGGGCCGCCGCCTGTCGTTCCAGCCGCGTCCGCGCCCTCGACCCACTTACACCTTCCGCGCTCTTCCATATGCGTACACTTACGTATGACCCGACTGTCTATCATTGTTGTCTAAATGCCTCCTAAGTAGCAGGCTCTGGCAAGACGCCGGCCAGACTCGAATACTGTATATCGCTTACCCCTGTGGATGGTGGTACTATTCCTGTCGCTTTAGGGGAATTGAAACCTGAATCCCCGCCGCGTTACGCTTTCATCTACCTATCTAGCCTAATCCCCGCTGCGGTTCAGCAGCGCCTGGTAACCCTCGTTGATCATGGCTTACTACCTTCTCTACTTCCTCACCATATCGGTTGTTGTGTGTGGCACAGGTATGCGAAGCTTCCAGTCCCTCAATCTTGCAAGTCGTCCAAGCCTTCCTTCCTGACCTGCCTTTAGCGCTCTACCTCACCCGGTCTCGATGGCTACCTCTACTGCCCGTTCCCGACTACATTTACGATCGTCTCCCCTCGACGTTTGCTGGCGATGTGGAAGCTGGTCTGGTCTCATCAGAGTTTGATATCTCCGCAAATATTGCCGAGGGTGACACCAGAGCGGGCTTGGATGACCAGGCCAAACGCGAAATTTTACGGATCATGAAACGGCGAAGAGTGAATTTCAATGAAGGTCGTCGGATCTACATGGAGCAGCGCTTTTCCAAGAACAATATTGGTCCCGATGGCCGACCTAGGGACCCAAAGTTCGTGTCATTCTCTTGATGACGTTTGTATCACAGTCGCTTGGTTTTTATTTTGCCCTCGTTCCTTTTCCCATTTTCCTTCGACATATGCTTCTCACCAGCAGACTCTCCTCTTACTTATACCCTCCCGAATGATTTCAAGACTCCTTTGCAGCGTGTAGAGTATGTTTACTATTGCCGTCAAGATCTAGTGTTGGCCTCTTTGCTTGAAAATTGATTTGATATCTTGTGTCAACCCTATTTCATGACTTCGTGGATCACTGCTGGCAATCAACTCTCAGTTACCATACATGGGCATTTGAATTGCTGTAGTGTTTCAGTTTTGTATTCATTGCTACCACTCAGCATAAATGACATATCGAGAACTGTGGACATCAGGTTTGATTATTCAGACACATTCCTCCTTCCTGTCGAACGTTAATGCTGATTGGCATTTCAATCTTGCCATGTGTAACAAGCGGATATATCAGTGCTATCCCGTGAGCTGAGGCATCTTGAGCCATTCATTATCGGGCGCGGCCTGTATTCTTCCGTAGGGCATTAACAGCTACTCGGTTGTGGGTCGTTACATCAAGTCGAGTAGTTAGCATCCGACGATCCAAGTAATGGTTGACAATGATGGAATTGTTCTTTTTAAGTACCCCCTCGTCTTCGGTTCAAGCCAAGGCAATTGACCTAGGATGCTCAGCGCCCGCGCCCATAGCCAGGTTGCTGGAATCCCGGGGGCAACGGAGGTGGAGGACCAGGAGTTCCTGCCGGTGAACCGAACCCTGGTGGAGCGAAGCCTGGCGGAGGTGCTGCTTGAGGGAATGAGGATTGTTGAGCAGCACCATTGAATCCTGGTGGGAGGAAAGACTGCGGCCCCCCATATCCGGCCTGAGAAGGCGGCGGCCGTGCTGGTAAACCGGGGGGTGGGTTCGCCAGAGATGTAGGAGGTGGAACAGGTCGGCTTGCTTGTGGAGGAGGTACGTTTTGGAACGGTACATTCGGAGGAGCCATGCCTCTGCCCATATTAAGGTCTGGTGGATTAGTACTCATTGGCCGAGAGCTGTCTCCATTGGCCATCGCAGCTGGCACCATAGGTGTCCCTGGGTTCGAGAATTGAGGAGGTAGAGGCTGGGTCGGTGGGCGCACGTTATGTTTGCGAGCCTGTGCTGCCAGCATTCGTTCTGCTTCGTCACCGTGGCGTTCACCTTTACCATCCTTCTTATAGGCATATTGCACGGAAACCTGCTTGTTCATAAGATATTGGCCGTTCATGTTGGTTATGGCGGCGTCTGAAGACTCGAAGTCGGCGAACGACACGAATCCATAGCCCTTTGACAGATTGTTATCATCCCGCGCAATCTATGTAGCAGCAATTGTTAGTATTTTACTCGAAAGCCACGGTGTCGCATGGCGCTCCTATAGATGGGACGAAGAAATCCTACCTTGGGAATATTGACCAAGTTTCCAAAGCGGCTGAACGTATCATAAAGAACTTGTTCTGTAACCATGGGATCAAGATTGCCGACGAATAGCTCTGCTCCAATCTCCACCGACTTTTGCTTGTCGGCCGATGCTTTGTTGACGCGGATGGGCTTTCCATACAAGCGGATTCCGTTCATGATTCGCGACGCGTATTCAGCATCTTCCTCGCTGATGAATTCCACGAATCCGTAGCCCTGATGCGACTGTGTGACTCGATCTTTCGGTAGGTGAACGTTAACGATGCGCCCGGCCTGCAGCATCAGCTCCCATACCAGGCTATCTGTGACCCGTTCATCAAGGTTTCCGATGTAGACGGTGGCCTCTTTGTCTTGCTCCCTATTCCAACACTTGTAAGTACCGGCATTAGGAGGATTTATATCCTGATGGAGTGAAGAGATAACACTTACCAATGCCTTGCGCCGGACATAGCGCCTAGGTATTACTCTTGAAGAGCCCCCTCGACCGGATGAAAGCGAATGAACAGGAACCGAAAGATGGGGGAGATGTTAGAATCAGCTAGAAGGAGACTACAAATTGACAAGAAAGAATTGTGTAGTCAGGATATGCTGAGAGGTCAAAATGAAGGTACTGAGAGAACAAGGGCTGGAAGGATGATCGCTGGAGACTCGGACTCCAGGTTATCGGCGGAGCTTTTACTGATCCAACTTTAGCCCCGGAAAACTTTGAGCTTCACCTCCCCCGTCTTTCCCGTCACTCCGTCACTCCGTCAACCCTTCCGCCTTTCCCAATCTCAGATTTACCGACATCAACAGCAGGGAAATTTTTGTGTTTATTATCACAGCCTTCGTGCAAGTTTAAGCCGGCAATATGGTTCAGTTCTCCGAGGAAACCAAGGTTAGTCTCCGGTGCTCTGTTGCACGTCCTACATAACCAGTCACGCTTGATCTCGGTATGCTAACGGATATGCCTTTTATGTAGGAGCGTATCTCCAAGGTCATTGATGTCTCCAGAGTTGCCATCCACTAGTTCGTCGCACCTTAATCCTTTCGACCAATGTGTCCTGACCAAAGCTGACGGTTATGTTTGCATAAGTGGATACCTGCCGCTGATTGTCTATCTCGGTACGTCTGATGAAATTATCTTTCGAAGGACCCGTCGGGGACCTTAATGATGGAAGTTTCGTTGCTAACGGATATGGAATAGGTTACACTTACAGTGAACCCAAGCCTTCTCTGTTCAAGTATGAGCGACTGCGCCCTGCCGACGCTTCCCAACGATGTCAACCCACTAATGCTACATATAGGCTGTTCTCGCCGCTCGCCTAGAGGAATGAGTTGCTTCAGAATACGGAAACGATGAATGTCCATCCACCAGACACATGCAACGCCTGAAATCTCCTTCTGCAGTTTAGACAGACCAATAAGACTGCCTGTCGGAACACTAGCAGATTCTGAGAAACCTCTTCCATCTCAACCCCTCGGGTCGATGTTGACAACTGGAAGTCTACATCGATGCACATGTACTTTTAAACCACGATCAGTTTTCATGCTTTGTATTGGTTAACGCGGATGTTTTAATTTCATATACAGGTCCAGGGCAGGACCGAGGATATACATGCAAAGGGTTTCCGGAAGACTACATTAATAAAGACTTGCGTAAGCTCCACTGATGCACTTTGAAGCAGACTTCAGATCCAAATACTAGGATATGTGATCTCGTTTCTTGTAGTAGTGAACAGTCGTAGGAAATGTCTTCAGGAAGTATCCGGTTATTTCCCTCGGACATTTTGGGGCGTCTCGGCCCGCCAAGCGCAATGAACTCGACTCTTAGCTCCAGCTCAGAAGTCTGGCCAAAGAATTTCGGACCGACTCCGGACTTCTTCAATACTCCCGACACTTCCGGCTAGAATCTCAAACCCCTGCAAGCGGCACATTCCAGGAGGACTTGAAGGGTTAATGACTGGCAAGGATGGCTTGTCCTCGTCCTTTGTGGAGACCGTAGCGGGATTCACGGCCGGAATCGCTTCGACGCTCTGCCTGCATCCGCTAGATCTGATCAAGACCCGGCTTCAAGGTTAGTGTTTCATCTCTCCGGGAAAGAAGACAAGACGTGGAGCGCGGATCAATCACGAATGGTCAAATTAGTCTTGAAGCTTTGGCTGACGTAGTATCAATCTGCTATATCTTCTAGTCGACCGATTATCCTCTTCGCGTGTCGGCGGTTCAGTCCCAGTAATCCGCGAGATCTTCCAAAATGAGGGCGGCATCAAAGCCTTCTACAGAGGTCTGACACCCAACATAGTTGGAAATTCCACAAGTTGGGCGCTGTACTTCTTGTGCTACGGCAACATCAAGGATGTGATGCGCACCTGGCGCCGTGGTTTTGAAGACCAGGCCCTCACCTCGGCCGACTACTTCCTAGCCTCAGGATCTGCAGGTACGCTCCAGACGCAAAAAGGAAACAGACCTGCGATGTGTTTTCTCCCCCAAGAAAGCACCGATCACGCAGTTCTGAAACGGCAGATGAGGCTAATTTACGGAATTATGATTCTCACAGGGATGTTGACGTCCGCGCTAACCAATCCGATCTGGGTGATAAAAACCCGCATGCTGTCGACAGGATCCCAGAGCCCCGGGGCATACGCGTCGTTCACAACGGGAGCGAAGGAGATTCTTCGCTCGGAGGGTATTGCCGGCTTCTATCGGGGCCTGGTTCCAGCTCTGTTTGGAGTCAGCCATGGCGCACTTCAATTCATGGCGTACGAGCAATTGAAATTGTATCGCTCCCGCATGGCTCCTCCGGCCGGAACAACTGGCCTTCGACGAGATGCTGGTTCAACTCATGTGTCGTCGCTGTCGTCGGACGCGGCCCGGTCGGGGATGCGGGAGCTGGGAAATGTAGACTTATTCGTGATCTCCAGCTTGTCGAAGTTGTTCGCCGGGTGTGTTACCTATCCGTATCAGGTATTGCGGTCTCGTTTGCAGACATACGATGCTCACCTCGTTTATTCGGGCGTCAGGGATGCCGTTGCTCAGATTTGGGCCAGAGAAGGTATCACTGGCTTCTACAAGGGCCTTGGCCCCAATTTGCTGCGCGTGTTGCCCAGTACGTGGGTCACTTTCCTGGTGTATGAAAATACCAGAGCGTACCTACCAGGGTTATTATCCAACCTTTGATAGAGAGGAAGTTGTTGCCTTATCCGCGCGGAAAGCGGAGGCAACTACGTCTACCCATCGGACATATGTCACAGCTGTTCAGATCTCGCATCCGCCGGCTCGTGTGCAGGTTGTACCTTGTACCTTATACGATCTTTGTGTGTATATATGCGTTAAGGCTCCTGTCGCCTGCAACCAATAATGTCTATTTGCCAGAATTTGGCATGTATTTTATTTGCAGTTGTAGGGGTTGTAATATGATCATATATATCAACATGTTGAGAACCAGAACGTACTAAACGGGCTTTGTCCGCCACAGGTATATATGTCCAAAAAAAGGAAAATAAAAGAGGAAACCACGCTGATGTACATAAGAAGAGTCTTCAGGCCGAACGAAAACATCTGGGAAAGCCCTATTCCAGGCGAACACCATATTCAACACGATATGCGGTTTATATGAGGCGAAACGAAATAATCACGAACGAGACTGGTATCGTAGTAACAAATGAGGGCAATGTAAATGATGCGACAAGATTCTAAGAAATGTGGAGAAAGCCGATATGGTATGTCAATGAGCCTGCCTTTCAATATAATAAGGTTCTGCGTCGTCATCATCGCTGCTAGAACCTCCGTTATACATAGATGTATCTTCATAGCTTGCTCGGCGCATCTTGTCATCATTGCTGCTGAGAGGCTGGATCCTTCTGCGGGAGTCTGAGCCGGGATCAGACCGTGAAGTAGGCGAGATCCTGCGGTCTTTCCCGCGACCCTTGATTCCTTTGTTGCTGTTCTTGTACAATGTAGCAAAATATTCCCAGAGCTTCCTGTCTTGTGGGCTCATGTGATCTCCTTCTGTCACTTGGGAGAATTTTAAAGTAAGATTTCGTAGGGTTGTGGCATGGAACTTGTTCTGGTGTGACTGTTATACTAGTCAGCTACTATTGAAGGTGTTGGTTTCAGGGTTGAAGATTGTTGGTCTCCGCACCTTGAGGTTTCCAAGCTGGGTAAATTGCTTTCCGCAGTCGTCCAGGAGACAAGTGAATGGTTTGGCATGTTGATGTGTGATCTTATGAGCACGGACGTTGCCTCGTTGAGCGAATCGTTTCTGACAGATATCACAGGAAAATGGCTTTTCCCCAGTATGGCGTCGTTGATGAGTCTAATTACCAATTGTCTCCGTTAGAAAATCTGCAACATCTTCGATGGTGTTGAAGCTCTCTTTATAGGGAACTATCTTGGGGAACATCCCATGACTTACCTTCAAATTACCCAACTGAGAGAAGCGCTGTCCACATGAGGGCTCTTTGCACACCTTTTCGTAACATATTAGCGTCATATCTTAAAAGTCTCGATTCTCATGCCACCTACAAAGGGCTTGTCCCCCGTGTGAGCCCGCATATGAATATCCAGGTGCGTCTTCTGCGCGAAGCTCTTGCCACACTGTGGTAAAGTGCAAGCATACTTGCGCTTTTTGCCTGATCTTGATGGAGCCTCTTCGACCATAACGGTGCATCTTGGGGTCGTCACCGGCATAGTATAGCTCTGAGGGTATCCGGTGCTTCCCCCGTGTGTCAACTGTTGCAGTGGTGGCAGAGACTGCACCCCTGGTGACTGAGCACTGGCTTTGGCCTGAATTGCCTTCATCAAGATATCTACCTCCGTGGAGAACTCAACCTCGCTGGAGCTGGAGCTCTTCCCCTGTGCACCTCCTTCGCTACTCGAGGACTGGGCTCCGGGAGGTTGTTGTGAGCCCCCGTTGTGCTCGATCTTCATTAAAGGATCCCTGGCTACCCGGTTAACGGCATTTTTGGCCGGCCGGATATCGGGAATTTGCTGGATGGACGGTGGCTCAGAGGATAGGCGGACCGGCTGGGGGTTGATCGGTTGCTGGCCGGCAACGAAATAATGCTGGTAGCCCGGATGATGGTGATGGTGATGATGGTGGTGGTTGAGTGTGTGTCCGAAGCTATACGCAGGGGACGAAGATTGATGGAATGGAAGCGTATAGCCACCAGTCGGATTGGTATAAAATGGAAAGTTGTGGCCGACATTCGAGCCCATCATTCGACGAGGCGCAACCGCCCCAACGGCATGACCGGGAAATTCGTATGACACTGGTTCTGCAGTTTCCATCTCGACAAAATGGCGATGTAAGGGTTGCTGGTCTTTGCGTTCTCTCCACCACAGGGCCTCAAAAGCGCCTTTATCTCCTGCCGAGCTGATTGCAAGCGGTTGGAGAGCAAGATGAGCGAGGAAACAGAGACAGCAAGATGGACCGATGAGAAGGACAGGATACTGCCTGCTATCACGTCTCAGTAACCCATCTACAAAGCTATTTTCGCGGGGTGTCGTGTTGAATTGGAAGACTTGTCACTCACCCACTTTCTTCGAAAGACAGAGCCTAGGCTGCTTGTTGATAATGACACAAAACAAGGGAAGGTTATGATGAAGTAAAGAAGCAAACAGGTCGGGAACAAGCAAATAAAATATATAGGGTATCAAGTCAAGATCAAGATCAAGATCTCAAAAAGCAAACATCAGCATCAGCAATGGAATTTGAGTTCCCCACAAGCTGAGCGTGTCCCTGAAGAAAGAACCGACCAGAGTGGCTCCAGATGTATATAAGCTCTTGAGTAGGGCAAGAAAGAAGAGTGGAGAGAGGGACAATGGATTGTAGCCGGCAGTCGCAACGAGGTGGGCTATGACATTGATTTTGACAATGGGGGATCACCAATAAGCAAATATATGGCTTGATTCTTCAGCCTGTCTTCTTGGGTAAGTTTTATTCGGCTTTTTTATTATTTCCTCTTTGTTTTTTTTCCTTTTTTTTTTTTTTTTTTTTTTTTTTTTTTTTCTTTTTTTTTTTTCCTTTTTTTTTTTTTTTTTACTTTTCTTTTTTTCCCCTTCTCTCTCTCTCTCTCTGTGTGTGTGTTTCCCTTATTTTGTTCGGATCGTCTTGATTCCCTTTTAATTAATTGCTCTTTAGTTTATTTGTTGAATCGGGAGAACAGAAAAGAAATAAGAAATAAGAAAGAAGAAGAGTAGGGAAGAAAAACAACACGAATGATAAAAATAATAAATATACTAATTTGCATTGGTTAGGTTCCTTGGACCCTCCGGAAAGATTGAGGTCGGTGATCTAGAACTAAACTACTACTACTACTAGATATACATCGCTAGCCACTCATCCACCCTCCCTTTCTCGGTGTCCCAGAGTAGTGGAAGCAGCGGGGTTGCCAGTGACAGGGATCTGGCCTGCTAGTTTAGTTGGTATTAAGCAAGCTGAAGGCTTGTATGCACCAGAATAGGAAAAGTAACAGGCAGCTGAGGTATGGGGGTGGTTTCTTTTCTTGAATTGGGGGGGTGGGTGTGGATAAGCGTGTATGACTATGTATCATTGTATGAATGTATGGAGTTGTATTCAGACAATTACGTATTGGATGTATGGATGTACGACAGCACTTGTCATGGATGTATTGGATCTCAATACGAAGCCTCTCGGGGGGAAAAAAAAAGGGGGAGGCAAATAATGAATGACTGAATGAATGACAGGCTAATGACGATACCATTTGGATATGAGAAATACATCGGAGTTAGAATAATAGTCATCGGGAATTATTCTCTCTCACTCTCTCTGTCTCTCTCTCTTTTGCAAAATGCTCACGGTAAGACCGCTCCCATCAGTAGTGTTTCTAGTTTCCAAAACAAAACCCCCATCCAGTCACCGAAATTTGGGTGCAAGCCGCAAAGGTCACAATAGGTTATTTTTCACTCCGTCTCGTCATGCATTTTGTGATTGATTGACGGAGCTGAATGCAATTATTCTGAATCGCGGTTGCCCCATCCATGTACATTGCAGTCCCGAACACCCAAGCCACCAGAGAAGGCTGACACATCTTACTTGAGTCCCACGAAGTTCCATCTGGTCCCTTTTCTTCTAAGCGGAGAATGGGGCGATTAATTACTAGTTCCGTCGACAATCATACTCCTCCTCTTCCCATAATACGAGGAGGTCCATGAAAAAGGATACCCATTTTTTACTTTATCTCAATTTATTTTTTTCCGCCAGAGTACCGATTTAGATGGGGATCCATGGATGCTCTCCCGGGGGGATCGGGGTCCACTCGGTTTTTGGGGTGGCCCTTCAGTCCAATCGCGGAAGGCTTAAACACCTTCCGATCGGGCTGACAGTCACGCACCACATGGATGGTACGAAGAAAATACCTACTGTGTACTAGGTATTGATCGCCCGTAGTAATCAGGGCTAATGCACTTTGTGCTGCCGACTCAGTCTACCTAAGGTATGATGAAACCCTTCATATATCTATTATACTATATACGCATGATAGAAACGAGTGGCGCCTCCTTACTACTATTCAGCTCCCCTGTCACAGTACGCATATAATTAGTCTACCAGGGTAAACTCCCTATTTACACACTACTAAGACATCAGATTCAACTGGTATGATTGAGAGTTTCGGTATCCCTAATTAGTAGTAATCAGCACCAGAGCGGATAAGCATGACGAGGCAACCATAAGTAGAGCTGGCAATGCCGCCACCATCTTCTAGATAGGAGAGAAGAACGGCAGAAGCCCAGGCTACCATAAGCATGGAATGCGAATTCGTAATCGACATCCCACAAACCACGAGTAGTCATATCATCTGACCCAGGAGGTTGGGCCAAGGGCATTGACCCCGACTAATTCAAAGAGCGGGTGGAGTAGGCGCTTTTCTCCTGACACCTGTTAGATAGAGCTGATGTAGTACCTGACTAGTATTCCCCATGTCCGAACTTGATGATCAGCTACTAGATGTCGTCTCTGGCTGATTATGGTAGGAAAGGGAGGGGAGATAGTAGTGCCGTACATCGCTCTTACTCGGGGAACTAATGCTGCTCAACACAGCTCCATTACCATTCTCGTATCATCTATGGTTGTCAGCCAGCTACTTACTAGCTGCTAGTGAAACAACCAGGATACCCTCGTCATCCACGCAGGCACCTGAGCTGTTGGGATTCATTTCAGCAAATGGGAGGCGGTTTCATACCGGACAACCTTGCCGGTCGAAGGATCTTCATCGTCACCTGGATGGATGTAGATCTTTACGACTGGACCTCGTTGCCCATGGGGGTTCGCCCATGGATCTGTGAGCAAAAAGAGCCACTAACCGGCCCTAAGGCTCCCTCAAAACTTATCCCCGACATCCAAGCTTAATAGAGCAAAGGATTTGGGGTTGCCTATGTACGAACTACATGATCCCAGTACCCTGCATCAAAACTAAGGGGTGCTTAAGGGGATAGTACGGCTGTTCGGTCGTTTGGTTATACGCGCCGTGGGATTTCCGCGGCTGCGAGGCATGGAAAAACCCATCCCACTGATATCGCTATTCGGTTGCAGGAGCGGGCGGTAATTTTTATTCTGGATCCTGGTTCGCTGCCGGGGCGCCCGAGAACTCCGATGACGGGCTTAGGTAGGAGAGTAAGTAGGTACTAGTAAGTACGTACTAGAATGATGTATCGGAGGAACTGGCTGAGCTGAATCGTCCTCCATTCATCCTTATTGACAGTAGAATGTGGCACACACACACACACATCTACCTGCCTTAGCGGCAAGTAAATAACAACTAGTTGTGCCTTATGCCATTGATTTTACCTACTTGAACACATTGTCTTCGATAAACCTTCCCGTTAAAGTGTGAGATTCAAGGTGATGGTGGACACGAATGAAGTTATCCGACTTTTCACTACACTGATCTTAAAAAAGACAAGACAAAAGCATTGAAATATAAAAAAAAAAAATTTAGAAATCTAAATTTGAAAAGGGCTATATCTGCGGGAAAGGAGACGTGACATGATATTACCTCAGTACTTCTGGTCAGGCGAGAGAAAGCATGACAGGGTTCGCCCGGCTGAGCTACACAACGGACCGCTCGCGGGCGATCAATAGTGTAGCAATCGCCGGCCGCTCATTTGCTGTCAAGCTCCCCACTGTCGCCGTCCTCTCCTTGGCGTGGATGTGCCTCACTCTTGCAACAGCCGCGTCTGGCGACTTGGAAATCCCAACACATCCCCCGCTCGTCCTACCGTGCTGGTAGATTGGCCCGGTAACCTAGTCTTACTGGTCGTTGGTTGGTCAAGATGAAGGCTAAGAACCTTACAAGAATCCCAACTGATGGGTATTATCCGGAGTAAAACATCATCGGCAACGTAAAAGATCTCAATGGTTGATGAGCTCAAAACACATCTTGGCCAGTCCAGCAGGACCTTTTCCTGTCTTATCAAAAAGGTAGACATACCAATGAGATCCAGTTGTCTTTCCCCCCATCCATGACCCACCCCACTCTGACTCTTTTCTTAGCACCGAATGCTGCATCCTCTGAATTTCTTTATGAAATACCATGTACTTCTGTATGCTTTTACCCCTGAAAAAGTGGGTTCACCTCCAGGTCGAAACATGCAAGACTCTGTTGCGCGCTGGTGCTGATGGATGGATGGCTGACAAGAACAGTAACTTTAGGTACCAAAGTCGTATTAGACTCACACAGTTTTCTTTCTGTTGGTATCTTCTTTTCTCTCTTAGATCTACCTCGCTTTCCTCGTTTCGTTTCAGGCAAACCTAGTAGTATAGGGGCGAGTAAGGTTAGAGAAAGAGGAATCATGCTAATGTGGGTACTAGGCAGGTAACTAACTACACTAAGGTAGTGCAGACTGTGTAGAGCCTGACGTATCAATTAACTTGGCCAGTGCTTTCTGTATTTCTTTACGAGATTATATTCAAACAATTTCAAAATGCAATTGTCGTCCCAAAAGTCCGAGGCTGACAGAGTGTGTCCGATCACCCATTGCAGTCTCTGCCTTTTTCCTTGATTCTGTGTAACATTGGATCCTCTCGCATGACTGGACACTGAATCTTCACTGCTCAGGTCTGATGGAGCACGCCCTGCTGTCATTGAACGATCAATCAATTGGGTCTAGAGCTGCTGAACAAGGAAGTTTTTTTTCCTTTTTTCTTTCCTTACGGAAGGATTACACTGACTTGATGTATAACTTATAACTATACGCGGGATGAAAGGGATGAAGATGGATTATCTAAATTAGAGTATAAATTCAAGTTCAAACAAAGGGGTAAAGGAAAAATTGTGGGTAACATACATATGACGATGATGAATCAAGAACTGGTAGGACTCTGAAGGCGAGACTTTTTCCCTTATCCTTACCTGTCCGTTGCTGTGACGGGCCGGGCCTTCATCTCGGAACCGCTCAAACTCAGCCATGACCCGTGGATCTTACAGGTGACGGACAGTTCCATCCCATCGCCCAACCTCTTTAGGTCACGCTAATTCTATGAGGCAAAATATTTGACTGGGTTACTGATCCCAACTGAATAGGGTCTTGAGGTAGGTGAGGCCTCTGAGAAATCACTCCGTGTTCCAGCTGAACCGTGCTCCTCCACATCGAGGGGATGCTGGGGCCAAGTAGCCATTACAAACTAACTACACCATACCATGTAAGTAAAACTCCTATTCCCGGCCTCATCGATCGTGGACAGCGACCACTGCGTTCCCGACATTGTGGGCCCGAGGGCCAAGGATTCCCCTAGTGAGGATCTATTGGATTAGACTGCGGCAAAGTTCAAACCTACCCTTACATACAGTAACCTTAGGTACTGCACGGGCTGTAGGTACCAGCCAGCCAGACAGACATACCTACATAAGCAGACATATTTGTGGATATCAGAATTGCAATCATTTTTTTACCCCAAAGGAAAAAGGAAAAAAAAAAAAAAAAAAAAAAAAAAAAAAAAAAAAAAAAAAAAAACAAAAAAAAAAAAAAAAAAAAAAAAAAAAAAAAAAAAAAAAAAAAAAAAAAAGCAAGCGTCTATAAATATGAATGATAACTAAGAACCAAAAATTAAAACTATAGAATATTATTAACGGAAGAAAAAGAAAAATACTATCCCTCGCGCGTTTGGATCGGGTGGAGGGAGTGGTGACTCGCACATCCATAGGCGACGGCAGCTGATCCACAACGATCGAATCTCAAACATGGGATCTAAGGAGATGCGAAAGTTGACAGTTGTGAGATGTATCACATTTGCGGTTTCACGCAGTGTCAGGAGAAGAAAGTGAGATAATCGGTGACATCATAGGAACAACCATTGGTCGGTTTCAACTGTATGTGTCTTTGCATGTTGAAGATTTACTTGTTCATAGACTTTTTCCTAATAATCAGCATATGTTTCAAGGTTCGTTATTTCTGTTGTGCGCAGGCAGTGATCATATAGAGACTAGGTACTTACTCATATTACTCTCTACTCTCTAGATGTCCATTTTAATGAAGACCCAAAATTATCAAGTATGGTTCATGCATAGTCTGCATGTATGAACCATGATGATACAGGTTAATCATGTGTAACCAGTGAACATAGCAGCTTCGCTCAGGCCAGTCTAGAGCTAGCCGAGCCTGACCTTCTCCGGATTCGTGAGGACTAGTTTAGTTACCTAGATACTAGGCAGGCATGCACAAGTAAGTTTAGTCGTGATGATCCACCCTGCTACATCGGCATTCAATCCTCTCATGGGATCAAGCAGCTTCTAAAGACAGCCTCAGTGTCTGTCTGCTTGATCCAATTTGCCCATTATGCACAGCAAGGAGGTTTTTATATTCCAGGATATGCTATGCCATAATGATTAGGTCTATTCTAGCAACGCTCGTATCATTGAGGAAATACTGAATGCCCAAGTGTTAATCACTTTCAGTTCCAAGAGAAAGTCAGGAGTAGACATTGGTGCTAAATATACTACATGACTGCCGATTTCACGATAAATAACATTCTTAAATGATTTATTACTTAATTCTCATAATCCCAATCTGTACTTAATATCGAGGATGCACAAGAAACTCGTACAGGATGAAATCCCGCCAAGCCACACCAACCCTGTTCTACCCTTCCCCCCCCCCTTCTTCCCGAGCGAGATCCGCCAGTCGATCATCACGGCTCCTGCTCGGGAAAAAGAAATGAGAGAAAGGAGAGCCTGGGAGCAAAAGTCAGATTTGACACCCCACGGCGATATAGGCGCCGGCTGGTGCCTGCTCGCAGCACGTAAGGCATGATGTAGGTCGACTGCCCAATGCACCACCGTCTTCACCACCTCGTGATCGCAGGGGGCTGCTTGTCAGAAGATGCAGGAGAGAAAATCGCGTCCGATCAATAGTGCCGGCTAGTACTGCCTGGGTCTGTGACGAACAAGAGCCGATTGAAAGTCAGTTCGACTCGTATCGTGACTGTACCTGATAATGTCACATTTGTGACCATGGTTTTGACTTGACATGACTTACGGAGGATGCTCTTTTTAAAATTACTTGTTCACACACGCTTCGGCTTTTCTTTATCATTACTATGTTTCAGATCAAAAGAGTGAATGATTGAGTGGAGAGAGAGAGAGGGAGGGAGAGGTAAATATATATGATGGCCTTATTTCAATATAGACTTATCCAATTGCATGGGGGTGGGTGCTATTTTGTTCACATATTCTTCAATTTGCTGTGCTGAGAGGCAATTGACTAGATACTACTACCGACTTTGGGGGGAAAAAAAAATCACAACTTGGTCTGTTTGTAAATACGAGCATACTTACTTTACCACTAGGGTTACGTGACATTATCCCCGAGGAAGAAAGGAACCATCGGCCACACCGCATGGACTGGAAAATCAGGAACGGAGCACCTAACGGGGCAGTGGAGCAGGTGCGATGGATCCCCGGAATCGACACATTAATTCTCTACTTTTAGTCACTTGTTAAATGACTATTAACTAATCTACTAACTAACCCACAGTAGGTATCACTACTAACTGACTAGTAGTAGCTAGTTATGTCTGTGCCCTCGCAATTACTAACCTATAACTAATCTCACCTGCTGGGTTGTCTCATGCCAATGCAGCATGTCAGTTCCCATCACACCGCGGGCATAGCCTAGGCAATGAGTGGCCTTTCTCCGGGGGCCCTTAGCGAGCCTCGTTAATGTCGATTTCGACGGACACTGCAAGTGGGAGCAGTCTCAAAAAAAGCCCACAGGGAGGGTCCATATAGTTGGAGGATCGTCATCCGCAGGCAGGCCATCCAGAGCTCCTCCCCCCACTTATTTTCCAACCAACTACGTACTCCTACACTGAGGACGATGGAGTACAGCCCTGGTTGATCGTGACTTTTACCGAATACTGTCCGGGATCTACCTGTCTTGCTTGCCCTTAGACCACTGAAGCCATGCCGAGTCCACACCTCGTACTCACTGCCTCTAAGGGACTTGTGCCGTATGCGCACAAGACGACGAGATACACAGGCAGAGCATGACCATGGCGATGCACCCTTTGAATCGGAATAATCACAAGCTGTTACTATTCACAATGCAGTATGTACAAGAGATTCTGTACTGATCTGACCGTCTTGATGTTTGCCAATTGAATTCCACATGTCTTTGTGGTTGACACAGACTCAGAGATCCTTGCCACATTCCAACACTGAAACTCCATTTAGCTCATGACGGAAGCCTGTGATTTCCCTTTAGTGGCGGCGGCTACGCCACTGCCTCAAAGTCCGGTGCACCTGCTGTGTTTAGCCTTCCCGGAAAAGTCCGTGGACCTGGCCAACTAGGCAGGTATCGATCTCGCTTTAGACCCATAGATCCCCGAGTGGATTCCCTACGGACCACGGAGTTTATATATCCTCAATATGTAGGTCCAATGCGATGTACGCCGCTACTGCAGTCATTCATAATGCGAGGACATAGGTCCGTGACCAACTCAACAACCTGCATCTACTACCGATGCTAGTTCAAACCCGAGAGATCGTATGGCAGCCTATGCCCCTTAGTGACGGCGCTGCCGGCCCTTTTTTTGTGGATGCCCAATACAAGGATAGATCTATGGGTATGGATTCATACGCAAGGTGACCGAATAGTGGTGCCGACTACTGAACTCACACCCCCCGCAACGTGCAGGTGCCCGTCACGGGGACTACGGATATCCCGATTGAAGGGTGATCTTACGGGGATAGGTAACCAACGGAGCACATCCCTGTGCTCTCCGATGTCTACTTTGTCGTCGCCGGTCAATCGTACGGACTATGAAGTTAACTGAAGAACGGGGAGGGTGACTACTCTTTCAGCCGACTACAATATGCCGCAGTCAACAAGCCCTCTGGATGGTTGTCATCTCTGCGCGATGGCAACCCGCTAAGGAAGCGCCTGCACTCCTACTGATCATCACACTGCTCTCGTGACAATTGCATTCAGCTTCCTCAGAATAAATTCACAACCACGTAATCAGCGCGAAATTACTACCAGTACAGCCTTTTTATCGTGCTTCGTCCTCTTCCTCTTTTTTTTGTTTCGCTTCGCTTGTAGCATTTCGTCTCCTTTGGGAAAGAAAAAAACCCCAGGGTCACTTCCCCGTGCATGGAGTTGTGACAATAAAGCAATTGGCCTTTTGCAAGGCAAATCCCGGTAGTGACGTCGAACAAGACGCGGCACGCAGAGAAAATCGGAAACGGGAGATTCGAAAAGAAGAAACATAATTCCATAATTGCGCCAAAGCTTTCCCAAATCATTCTCATCACCGTCCAGTGTAGGTAGAGTATCTGTTCGGAGCGAACCTGTCAACAATGTTCATGATAGAGAAGAAGACAGAAAGCCACCAGGACGATCAATGCCTTGTAGGCCAGTAGGAACGTACCTCCAGATTCTTGCCCGCATGTCACCACTACCAGTGGCGAACAGGTTATTAGTAGGGCTGGGCGCCACGGAGATGACTGTTACTGAGTTAGCAAAAGCCAAGATCACCTGGCAAGAGACATAGTGCTCGGAAATTTAGGTACGCACCTGAATTCTTGTGTCCCTGGAGCATCATCTGCGCATTTCCGGTGATGGGGTCCCAGAATTGAACGCCCCGGTCTTTAGAACCACTCATGACCCAATGTCCGTCGGGAGTCAGGCAGACGCTGAGCACAAAGTCCTAAACCATGAGGTCAGCAACCACGAAACAAGCATTGGCCTTTGCTAACGGAAAGTATGTATTTACCTTGTGACCTTCAAAAGTGCGGACGCATTTACCACCCTTAACTCCGCTTCCGGGGTAGGCGCCACGGGGCACGTTGAGCTCCCAAAGTTTGATGGTCTTGTCCAGACTACCACTGACAAGGTCCCGGCCGTTGGGGGCGAAGGCAACCGAGTACACGCTATCCTTGTGTCCATCGGGGCTCTCCAACCGTTCCACAAGGTAGCCGGTAGTGGTATCCCAAACACGCACACTCTTATCGAGAGAGCCTGCGGCGACGTAGTGACCATCTGGGGACATGGCCACGGTGGTCACACCGTCTTCGATGCTCAGGGTGTAGACCAACTTGCCATCCAGGATATCCCAGAGGCGAACAGTCTTGTCTCCACTACCGGACGCAATGTACCGACCATTGCCAGCGAAGTCAAGAGAGTAAATATCCTGCTCGTGGCCGGTAAAGATATGCTTGATCGTCCGGGCATTGATGTCCCAAACCTAACGGTAAGAAAAGAGGAAAAAAGGGTTAGCTGCGAAATCCTTCGAATAACAGCGCACCAAAGCGGCCATCAATAGTATTAGTGATGTTAAAGCAGGACCACATACCCGAATCTGCTTGTCTTCTGCGCCAGTCGCAAGATACTTGCCATCAGGGCTGAAGCAGACGCTGCGGATGTAAAGGTCGCCGTTCTTGTCCACATTCTCATCCTGCAGCGTCGCAACGTTCTGACCCGTGGTCACATCGAAGATCTGCGCAGAGCGATTGCAGCCGGTCGCAAGGTACTTGCCGTCACGGCTGAAACGAACACAGCACACAACGCTGTCGTGGACAAGGTGATGAACAAGTTCCACATCCAGCACGCGCTGCACCTCGGGATTGAACACGGCGTACCAATCGGCACCCTCTCGCTTCTGTGACGCCGGCAGATCGTCAGGATTCCAGTTGGCCAGCATGTTTCCCGGACGATCTCGCACGAGAGCCTGGCTAGGAGGCGTGGGGCGTGCCAGTTGCGGCGAGGAGACGCGGGGATCAGATGTGTAGGCCAGCTGGTGGGTCTGTTGAGGAGTGGCCGGACCGGGAGGAGCGCGGGGCCGCTTGCCAGGGCCGGGGGAGGCAGCAGGAGGAGGGGGAGGTCCATAACCTGTTTAGAGATCGAGGCGATCACAAGGTCAGAGGTCAGGCAATCTGTCTTTCAAACATAGTCATAACATACCGTTCACAGCAGCACCAGGCTGATATCCTCCAAAAGAGCTCTGCGGTGGTTGCGGCGCTCCTTGCTGGGCCGCGGCAGCAGGCTGTTGAAGGGTATGCTGGGGAGGCTGCTGATCCTGGGGAGGGGGAGGGGCAACTGGAAGACCGGGGCCACTACCTCCTTGGTTGGTCATGATGCCACCAAACAGATTGCTAGGACCGTGACCCAGGGCCGGTGGCGGGGCCTGAGAAGGTCCAGCGTGCTGGGCCGGGCCGGCAATGTGAGACGACACGGGCTGAACACCACGCGATTCAAGCTCGTGTCGCAGCACCCGAATCTCTGCTTCGTAACTACAATAATGGATAAGGCGTTAGTACGGCTATGGGGTAGGATGAGCCGCCGCAGGTCAAGTAACGTACTCTTGTTTCATTTTGAGTTGTGCCTGTTCCAGTTGATAGACCTTCTGGCGGATCATCTCCATCTCTTGAAGCTGTCCGGTTACTAGGGATTGTAGAAACCAAGCGTCAGCAATATACACCAAAGGGGGAAATGACAACAACAACAATAATAACTCTGGGCGACACAAGATGCTCTCCATTGCATAAAAACTCCGGAGTTCACCCGTACGCCGCTGACCTGCGCCACAAGGTGAAACCCGACGGAAACGCGCCGTGACAAGCAAGATTCTCGTCGCAAGGCCAATCCGCATATCACAGAGAACCAAGAAGATAACAAAACATACGTTGGTGTTCAAACTCGCCAGTGCTTCGAGACTGATTCTCGAATTCCTGGCGCAGTTGGTCCAACAACTCCGTCAGACGGGAGTTGGGAGCCGGAACCATTCCGCGATGAGTATTATACATAGCGCGGAATGTTTGTGTTGTTATTGTCCCGTGTTCGCTTGGGCAACAATAGATGGGTGGACAATCCGAACAACGAGACGTAGGAACGAAAGTCGCTTAGGCGGAAAGTGAGTGGTTGTGGTGGGGGGAATGGTTGGTGGTCGACCAAAGGGATAAGTAGTTCAACGGCAAGAGTAATCCGCAACTCCGGGGGGAAAAAGAAGAAGATATGGGCGACGGGAGTCGCTGTTAGGCGACAGAGACTGGTGTGAGGAAATCGATCACCGCAGCCGCATCACAGCGCGCCCCTGAGGACTCGGCGCGGCAACGTGGTCGGAAAGGGGAAAACAGTAGAAGAAAATGGGGGAAAGGATGTTGAATGGGGATAATTGCGCGTAGACGACGATCCGGGGCGGACGATGGATGAAAGGCGAGACGATAAAGGGACGACAAGGGAAGAGGGGAGGAGGAGCAGAAGCTGAGGCTGAAGGAGGAGGAGAGCGAGATGAAGTGACAGTTGAAGGTCCGTTCAGTTCAGGTTCGAGTTCGTTAGTCTTTCTTAGGTAAGGTTCCTCCGGGTCACGCTCGGCTGTTCCGGGTCCGGAGAACCACCACCGCCCAATGGACGTGCCCGCTTTGCCGCCCGAAGCGAGTCCCAAGTAGGCGAGACATTGAAGTATAGTCTACTTCGTACATACTATATATCAGATCGAAAATAGCATTTTGAGGTAACAATCTATACTTCCTATATGTTTCGTAGTTATAAATCTGGAAAGACTCACAATTGACACTCTAGTTCCCACTATTTCCCGGGAATAGACCTAACTGACTCACTGTCGAGATAGTAAAGAAGGTACGGCGCTTAGTGTGACCGTATTGAACATAGACTTCTCACCTAAATGCAGCCATAGCCGCCGCAATACTGCAATAATACAGAAAGTATGCAACTTGCACGTACGTTACTAAACCATATCATCCCGTGACCTTATCAGATCGGCCGGAATTGCGGATGTAGTTTACTCCCCAACTGGAAATACACGTTGGAACCTTGTTTTTTTTTTTTTTTTTTTTTTCTCTCTCTCTTTTCTCCCCTTCTGCGGTTGTAGTTTCCTTGGGAAGGGGATGAGGAACACAATAAACTACTTCCCACTTAAGTTGCTGATAGAACACACTACAGTTTACTTATGTTATAGATCTAATCACTATAGTTAGTTAGATGTAGACAACTATACATTACTCAGTAGTAGACCATCTCCACCCTTTTCACAACAAATCAGACGGAACGGCAGGCCTCGTTCCGCCTGGTGTGATCCTCACGGCCATCTGATAGGCTCCTCCTCCACCAAATCGCAGATGAGTGCCATTCTGCAAATTATATTACTTAACTTCTTCATCTTCTCATCTTCTTTACCCCTTCCTTTCTTCTAACTATTCTTCTTCTCCTCGCCAATTTTACATTCTTTCCTTTCCCCCCTAATCCCCCGCCCAAACTGCCCAAACCTAAAAAGTAGTACTTACCAACAACCACTACTGGCTGGCACTTCAATCATTTTTTTAACCTAACTCTCCTCCTTCCCCCTTTCCTCCCCCGCGAACCATCCGAACTCTCCGCCGATTTCTCAACACCTTGTTCCACATACCACCCTTATAATATTATATTCTCACACGCTCAAATCCGGGCACCATGGATATCGCCCTCGAAATCTGGGACACCTTCATTGGTGATCGCCTCTACGCCTCTCTTCTCCCTCTATCTCTTGCCTCATCCGCCTCGCTCCCCGGCTTCACTACCGTCACCAACAGCACCCTGTCGTTCTTTGGCGCAACCCAGCCCTTTGTCTACGAACCGGCTACTCAATTGATTTACTTGGAGCCTTCCAAGTTTGCCTATTTGAGTGCCTGGCCAAGGAACAATATTTATCGTCAGTTTCTTTCTTTCTTCTTGATCGTCTGGTATGTGCACTTGCCTTCGTTTTCTCGAGTGTTCGTCCCCCCCTTCCAATCTTTCCTTTGGCTAACTGTGTGGGCGCATTATGTGCGCCTTGATCAGGATCTTCGGTATCATCGTCTACTTCATTTCCGCAAGCCTTTCCTACATCTTCATCTGGGATAAGACCACCGTTCACCACCCCAAGTACCTCAAGAACCAAATCCCTATGGAAATCGCCCAGACCATGCGCTCAATGCCGGTTATGTCCTTGTTGACTGCCCCTTTTTTGGTCGCCGAAGTCCGTGGTTACGCCAAGCTCTATGATACCTTCTCCGAAGAGCCATTCCCCTACTACAGTATCTTGCAATTCCCACTATTCATCATGTTCACCGACCTCTGCATCTACTGGATTCACCGCGGCCTTCACCACCCGCTCATTTATAAAACCTTGCACAAGCCTCACCACAAGTGGATTATGCCTAGTCCCTTCGCCTCCCACGCCTTTCACCCGCTTGATGGCTGGTCGCAGAGTGTTCCCTACCACGTATTCCCGTTCATCTTCCCACTTCAGAAGCTGGCCTACGTCTTCCTCTTCGGGTTCATCAACCTCTGGACCGTGCTGATTCACGACGGCGAGTACGTTGCCAACAGCCCGGTGATCAATGGAGCGGCCTGCCACACCATGCACCACCTGTACTTCAACTACAATTATGGCCAGTTCACAACCCTCTGGGACCGCCTGGGCGGTAGCTATCGCAAGCCCAACGAGGAGCTCTTCCGCCGCGACACAAAGAATGGCGAGGAGGAGTGGAAGCGACAGACCAAGGAGATGGAAACCATTCTCAAGGATGTCGAAGGCGACGATGACCGGGCGTACCTGGCTGATTCTCAAAACAAGAAGAACCTGTGAATATGGGAATCATGACCAGTCAATAAGGGATCTGTTCTCAACCTCACAGGTCCACAGAGATTATCTCTGTTTCCTGGGCCCAGACTTCATATAACGAGTTCATGGCTTCTCCCCCTATTTTTCGACATTCTCACGCTACCCCTCCCTGACTACGTCTTGTATAACACGGATCCTAGTATATTAATTGTTCCAGCCCCCTTTATAGACGTGTATATTAATCCAACCTCGAGTCACTGGTTATGCCCCTGCTTGTGAAGGAACACCGGAACCGTACCGGCCAGTTGTCTGTTTGGTTTCGTTTATTTCTTGCTTTCTTTTTGCTTTGTACATATATATGATCGTTGAACGGAAAGGGGAGCGGAGATTTCAACATTACATTCTAATCTACAAAATTCACTGCATTACGCTATAAATATATATATCTATGTATGTATAGGTGTGGATACAACACCTCTCAGTTGAAAAAGGCAGCAGGGAAATACCAAGAAACTCATGTTCGCAGATCATCACAAGAAGATTCAGTGAACTAAAACAATTCCTTGATCCTTTTTTCTTTTCTCCTCTTTTAGTGGTTATATTAGACTCTTTTTGATTTTTAGTTTGAACGCCCTCACCCGCTGAAATTGGTCAAGATAAAACAAGTGCCACAGCCTAACTTATGTATGTATACAGAAGAGCGAAGAGAAAAATGGAAAGAAATCCTGGAGTTGAAGATTGAAGGTCTCCTTCCCCAAGCACATCTGATCCAATTACAGCCTAATCAAAGCTCCCACGCTCACTCGATGTCTACGCTCGCATCGGCTTCAGCAATATCCATTTCCCCATCTGCGGGGATACTTTCTGAAGCGCCGGTCTCTTCTGGGGCCGGAGGGGGAGCGACCGTACCGACAGGAGTAGCTGTGGCCATGGCGTCCGCAATGAAAGATTCCTCGACGCCGGCTTTCCTGCGGAACACTCTGAGCCAGCGCTGGCCCCATTGCCGGATGATTTCATCCTCGGGCAAGTTTCCACTTCCGTCTCCTCTTTCCATCTGCTCGTCGTTGCTTCCGCCGGCCACTGATACGATAGAGTCTTCGATGACCTTGAAAAGAGATTGCATATCAACCTTCTCACGACTGAGCGTCTCATCGAGGACGCTGAGCTGCGGCTCGTAAAGTCCCGGCTGAGTACGTGCGGCAACAATCTGGCGCAGGCGGTTGGTGACCTTTCCAACAGTGGCGGAGATCATCTCGAAGACGTGGGACTTGGCAAGAACGGTTCCCGCCTCTAGCTTGTCCACCAGCGCCCATTCAATGACTGACAGTGGGGTCAAGATAGTGTAGTTGAGAAGCTTGTCAATGATGTTGATTCCGACGCCGGGCTGGTCGACCCAATACTCCATGACGGAGGTTATAATCTGGCGCCTCGCCTGTGCAGATTGGGGTCCGATGGCCAGGAGTCGTTCCTTGTTCCGTTCAATGCAGGACAGT